ACGTGTCAAAAGTTATGTAAAAAACAATATCACGAATTTGTCCTCAAAACTTAAAATTCTCTAAGATTGAATACATTTTTAAACACCTTTTTAAATAACCCATAATGTGGTTTTTTTTTTTTTTTTTGTCAAACGATAGATTAGATATTAGATTAACCAACGACGATATTTGAATCCATACCATCATGCAAATACTCAACTTTTTCCCCACTGGTAAAATGCCACTTGCCATTAATGTCGTCTCTCAACCCCTCAAAGATTTATATTTGGAATCCAGATTTAATCTAAATATTAACCGCGGGTCCACGATTCGATCCATGTTTATAACGTGTCATGATGGAACTGTCAAATGAGGGGAGTTGTAGGACCTGTCGTACCTAATGTGCATAATGACATCAAGCTTGTGATTGTAGTGGTCCACTCATAACTTCGTTCATATCAGCCAGCTCAGCATTCCTTGCTCGAATTAACACCATCCATCCATTAATTATTACACGTGGGTTAATTACACAAAAGTATGAGAGATTTTTCGGACATGGCTTCCTGCCTTTATATTTCCTATATATTCTTATCCCCTCTTATTTGTACGATCACGGTTAAGTTATGTCAATATTTTATATTATTATTATTTTTTATCTTATTATCTTTATAAAAAAATAAATATAAAATATTTACGTGATTTAATCGTGACCGCACAAATAGTAAGAGATAGGAGTGTATGAAAAGGTGAGAGGGTAGAGAAGTCGGATCCAGATTTTTCTCCCATCCCAAACCTAATTCATCAAGCGTTGTAATAAAACTAGAAATAAGAAATTTGAGCCAAGCTACAGAATAAGCCTTCTATATTTATATTCGGTATGAGGATTTAATAGAGATGTGTTATCCACACATCATTTTTTTAACTTTTTATACATTTTTTGTTAATCTATATTATTTGATCTTCTTCAATTCATCCGATCTGACGGTCGAAAATTAAAAAATATGTGAGAAATAAAAATGAGTAATAAAATAAATTAAGTTAAGCTACACGATAAATTAATATAATAATTTGTTATTGAGCTTATCGTTTAATTTAAAACTTATTACTTATAGGCGTAGGATAATGGACCTGGCTTCTCTGTCCTCTCAGTTTTCATATACTCTTATCTTCTTCTATTTGTGCGATCACGGTTAAACTACGTCAATATTTTATATCACTATTATTTTTTGTCTTATTATCTTTATAAAAAATAATATAAAAAGTTAAGGTGATTTAACCATAATCGCACAAAATAGAAGAAGATGAGAATGTATGAGAACTAAGAGGGCAGAGAAGTAGAGAAGCCGGGTCCTACGATAATATCGAGGAACTGTAGGACTCAGCAGCAAGAAATGTCTAAGCCTTTGGTCTATCCCTTGAATATTCCCAAGTTGGAGTCTTGAAAGCCTTGGGGGAGTGTTCTACATTTGCAAATTGTCTAAATATAAAATATAATGAGAAGCAGATAACAATTATAAGGACATCTGCTTATTAAAGCAACAGCTCGTCTCTCCTTTTTCTGAGACCTGGGCGGCTCTGCCAAATTTCCAATATTTGAGAGAGAGAGAGAGAGAGAGAGAGAGAGAGAGAGAGGAGGGTTTACCTATAAGTCTCTTGGGGTTTTTTTTGAAAGGTGATTTGGGTTTGCTTTCTGGTTGTTTAGTGTCAAGTTGGAGTTGGAGTTGAAGGGACTGATGGTTTTTTCACCTTCAAATTCCGTGTTCTTAATCTGCAAAGATGCAGCTGGAATTGCAGGTATTATTGTTCTCTTGAATCTTTTTTGTTTTTGCGATCATTGTCTGAATTGTTACTGTTTTTTGCTTTTAATTTTTCTAATTAAGAACTGAAATTAGTGTTGCATTTATTGCAAAAGGAAAGGAAAACTTTTTTGGTGGAGGTATGATATTCCAGTAGGTTAATTTTGGTGGGAAACTGTTGGCTCTGTTGATTTCTAGGCAACTGGGCAAAAGTCTTGAAGTTAGTTCAGCAGCCCACATTGTTGTTTGATATCAGGATTGTTAGTTCACAATCGTTATCGACGAGAGTTTTTAAATTGGAAAACATATTGATGTTATTTTGCAGTGATGAGAGAAAATTTTAGAGCCTGTTAGTATTCTATTTGAAAATTTTTATCATTTCTAAAACATTTTTTAAGAAAATTTCTTGAAAATAATTTTTTTTAAACTAAAAAACTTGATTGGTTTGCGATTTAAAATTATTAATTCTTACGACTTAAACTAGACAAAGATATCAAAAAAGAGGGGGTCGCAGGAGATGGAGAAAGAGTATAGAGCTAAAAGAAAGTAAGAGACGATTGAAGGAAAAAGAAAGAAGAGAGAGGATCAGAGGAGATAGAGAGAAAGAGGAGTGAGAGAAAGAATCGAGAGAATGAAGACAGCGGATTGGAGGATAGACGAAAAAAGTAAAAAAAAGAAAAAAAGGAGAGAACAAGAAAAGAGAGATAGATTTGGAGCGAGAGGGGAGGAGGGAGAAAAGAAATGAATGAATTGTAAGTTTAAAAACTCACTTTTTATGTTTTTAGAGAATAGACTATATTTTTGAGTTAGTCTCAAGATATAGTTTTTTAAAATAGTCATACCATACAATGCATCAACTCTTCATTTACATGGTAGTTTGGCTGAAAGCTTTTGTGCGCTGCGTACTCTAAACTAAGCTGTTCAACTAATAAATGTGAGATTTGTCCATCTAAGTAGTTTCTGAGGCTACTACAAATTGTCACATGCATGTATATATGGTATATTACAACTGTAGTGTTTGTGAACGCTACTACAGATTGTTTAAATTGACCATATGGTCAATGTGATCAACAACCTGTGATGATCTCTGATTCTCGCAATTGAATCCAGGATTTTATTGATATATGTATATACGCATATTGGGGTTCCACTTATTTTTATTATCTGTTGCAGGGAACATCTTTGCTTTTGGGCTGTTTGTTTCACCAATGTAAGTTTTGATCAGTTTGGTAATAATTAAATGTGAGAAAACATGAGAACGAGAACGATTTGTATTCATTTCCTCACCGGTTTGTTTTTTAATTGGCTTTATTTTCTTACTTTCAGACACACATTTAGAAGAATAATGAGAAACCGTGCCACTGAAGAGTTCTCAGGGCTCCCATACATATATGCCCTTTTGAACTGCTTGATCAGCATGTGGTATGGATCGCCTATTATATCTCCTGATAACATAATGGTTATGACGGTCAATTCAGTTGGTGCGGTGTTTCAATTAGTGTACATAGCCCTCTTCATAATATACGCTGAGAAAACAAAAAAGGTTACCTATATTACTCACACCTGTTACCTTGGTGAAGTTTGTGAAAGCCTTACTATGTTCTAAGTGTCGTTAGTTCCCTCTATCTTTGCAGATGAAGATGCTGGGATTGCTGGCAGCAGTTTGTGGTCTAATTGCAATCATAGTATATGGGAGCTTGCAAATTGCTGATGCTGCTATACGTCAGATAGTTGTTGGAGTGCTTAGTTGTGCATCTCTAATATCAATGTTTGCTTCTCCTTTGTTTATAATTGTAAGTTAATCCAAGGCCTTTGCCGTACTTTCTTTATTTTGGTTTATGTTGGCATCAACTATGTATTTTGTTGTGTTACCTTATTTACTTTGTTGTGTTTTTGCAGAACTTGGTGATCCGGACAAAGAGCGTCGAATTTATGCCATTCTATCTCTCCCTTTCCACCTTCCTCATGAGCACCTCTTTCTTGCTTTATGGAATTTTTAATTGTGATCTCTTTGTTTATGTAAGATTCCCTTGCAGCACATTTTCTCTGTTTTTTAAGAAAAGATATATGGAGCCGTCAATTCAGATTAAAGTTCTTTGTTTCTCAGGTCTTACAGTATCATTCTTGATGCATTTCAGGTCCCAAATGGAGTAGGAACCATTTTGGGGATTGTACAATTAGCGTTGTACTTTCATTATAAGGATTCGTCTAAAGGAAACTCCAGAGAACCGTTGATAGTTTCATATGCATAAATCAGTTCCGGAAACAAGAGAGTGCATGTGTTTTGTCTTTGATGTAAGTGTTATCTTTTATCTGTTTTATTTATCGCAACGGGAAACCATAATCTTCTCATTTCTAGCATGTACAAGTCTGATCCTTCTGAGTGTCAAATTTATCACAAATAAATGCTATATATGCTCCATTTTCCCCACACAAAAGAAATTTGTGGCCTGGGTTTCCCTTCCCTGAATACATGTCTACATGTAAAATTAATGTCATGCTAATCTTATGAATTCATCCTTGACTGTTAATAGGTGAGAACAAATCTTATCAAGTAGGCAAAATGATTGAAGAGAAGAATGGTGCGGCTTACCTACTTGAAAACAAAATGTATGTCCTTTCGGCCTTTCAATCTCCTCTATGGCTTGGGTCATCCCCCTCCCCCGCCCTCTCTCCCTCTGTCTTTCTATGTGTGAAAGTGCATCTATGTGTATCATAGATATTTGGAAGAGTTTGTCACACTAGTAATCCCATTTTTTAATCGGTAGCATTCATGAATTGGTATGAGTTCTACGATGTAATTGTTTCAGATCATTGGATCAACTTCTTCTCATCTTTCCTGCATCAAGTTGAAACCTGTAAAGCCGTTTTTATATGGCTTTAGCAGCTTCACTATTGGTATATGTCAAGGAAAAGAACGGAAGAGGTCAATGTCCAGATGTGAAACACATCCTGCCTTATTTGTACAATCAATACAGTGTCACGGTTTCAATTCCACTTTCCTTTCTCAGCTTCTTTTTTGCTTATGTGATTTGTGATTGTACCTTCTGCTTCAGAATCAATCATGAAATACTTTTTGATTTGCTTGTGTTTCTATTTCGCATTCGTATTCTTTTTGGGAATTTAGGTAAATTCAATTCTCTTTCTGAATTCTTTACTTTCTTGTGTGATAGCATAAAATTGTCTAACATGTTAAATTGTTGACTCGTACCCGAAGCTTTAGAAGAAACATTCTAGCAAACCATCTGAACATATCAGAAATACCAACTGCCTTCATTAGAAACCTCTATTCCGAAGAAACACGGGAGGACTTAAAAGAAACGTGAGTTGCAAGCTTAGGTACTTGAGGCATTAGTTGGCTGTGATTGGAAAGTTTTAATTAGACTGAAAGGGACATTAAGATCTGCATAGATTAGCTGATAGCAATAATTCTGCATAAACAAGTTCTTCGATATCTTTACTGCCAAGCTTTCTAAGATATTTGTTGGTTAACTAATGGAGTTTATAGATTTTCTTGCACATGCATTGGGAAAGGGAGATTAATTTTGAACATGGGAATTTCTATGGATCATCAAATTAGCACTCGAAAGTAGTTATTCTGCACTCCTTCCTTCCTCGTCTTTTCTTTAGGGATGAGTTCAGAATGAGTATTTTGGAGTGCCAATAACATTTCTTGATTCAAATATGGCAGATGAAGCGAGAAGAGATCGTGCATTCCTTTATTTGCACATTGACTGTTTCTCTGTCATTGTATACAAAAACTTCATGATGCACATCACTGGTAGCTACCACTTTGTTTTGGTAAATCCCTTTAAAAGCATTTCTGTTAGAAAAACTACAGCAAGTCCCTCAAAGTTGTTCTGCCAACACCAGCAGTCTTATCCTGTACATCAAACCAAAAAAAATATGTTGATTGAGAAAGATGCAACATACGATAACAAGAAAGCATCTCTTGGGTCTAAATTTATACAAAGCTTTAGATAAATCTCCGTGTTTTGGCTGGATTTGCGTAATTTATAGGTCTTGGTTGTTATAGAGGATTAGATTGGGATGGATAACCTTGAAGTCAAGGCAACTTGAAGGTGGAGGAGAATGATTATTCATTTTTAGGCGATTAAAAGGGGATTAGATATGAAGGAAATTCTTTCTCTCCTAAACCTACAATTTTGGGGCCAATTGGAATTAAGTATTTTTTGTTAAGAAATCCATCTCCAACCTCTAAGTTGGTTATATTTTCTTCGTTTCTTCCTTTAACATACCTTCAAAATAGTTCCTTTCTATTCCAATCAAATCCTCTATACCAAATGGGCCATAGAATTGTGTTTTGTGCATATGCTATGTTATGGGTATCCCAAATTTGAGAGAGAATTTTTCCTATAAGCGCTTAAAAGATCTTCAGCCTCTACACTCATTGGCAATTGGTTTTGGGTTGTACAGTTATGCTCTAAATCTTGTATACAAGGCAAGATCCTTCCCACCAAAATTTTGATTATCCAAAAATGGTTTCATAAAGGATTAGAAATTTCATCTGTTTTCGTCTAGGCCATTTAGGTCGCATTAGTGCTTAAGATTGGATAACTCATTAGATTCAGCATATGTTAAAAGGAAGAAATAGATGCGAACTTGTGATGACTAATCCGTAAATTTAGACAAATTTTTGAAAATTAACATTTATTTCTATCTTAAACGTACTTTGAATCTAGTGAATTGTTAAGTTCAATCCGGTTACAAAAACCAAATGATGCCTAAACATGGTCTTCACCATGCCAATGATGTTTAAATTATCTTGTGGTTACCAATGTGCATAAAACAACTTATCGTAGTCTTTGACATGCAAAAGATTGTGAAATTCTTATCAACTATCAAATCTATGTTCCCAGCAAAAATAAGGGAAAAAAAAATTCCTTTCGGTCACTGTTTATACCTAAAGTCGATTTTGGTCACTGTGTTTTTAAGTGACCAAAATAAATTTTAGGTATAAACAGAGTGACAAAAAGGTTTGTAACCCCAAAAATTAAATTCAAAGGAAAATTACTAGATTGATGAATTATACCTGGTTTCTGGTTTCTTTGTGGGAGTCACACAGAGGCCGACCTCTTTCATCATAGAGAATAAGCCCACTGAACCTCGGAAGCTCACATTTCTCCCCCATAAGTATAGGCCTCTGCCACACAGGAGAATCCGAGTTATGGCTCCGCCACCCCACTTCAACCTCAACCCTTTTGTCCAGCAGCGGCCGTGGCGTCTCTCTCCAGCTCCCGCCCCTCCTCTCCTCCCACTTGCTCCTTCTGCTCCACCGCACCGAGCTCACCAACGCCCTCTTTATCGACCCCCATCCACAACTCGGCTCAGACCATTTCGGTTGACCTACTACCGCCTCTCGCTGGCTGCTCATCACAAGCTTCTGCTCCTCCGGCTTCTTCTGAGCCTTCTTTAGCAAAACCGTTGCCACCATGCAAAGACCGACGATGGCGAACGCAGCGGAAACTAATAGCAGAAATGCTTGTTGGGTAGAGAGCTTCCACTTGTCTTCTAAATTCCACAAAGCTTCCATGGGATTTTGTTACTTCCTTATATGGTGTATAGCGACTAACAAAGTTTAGATTTTGATGATTTTGTATGGGGAATATTTAGAAAGTTAGAAAAAGAGAGATGATTTCTTATACGTAGAAAGATGCATGCAATAATTCTGCACTGATAGTGTACGGCCTACACGTGATGGTCCACCGCCTGGCTGCAGGGCGTAGGCTGCTCTTTTTGGTTGAGTTTTTACGACCGTTGGGGAATAAAGGCAGTCATGGGGTATTCATGGTTGTTCTAAACCCTAATTAACCATCTCTCTCTACTATTACAACTACTAATGGGAGTACAGAATGACAAACTAAGAGTATGAATAGTATCTAACGAGAGTGTGGGATGACAAACGGGGAGTACGAATGGTATTGCCATGAGATAATGGAGGGCAAAAGTGATTACCTCTCAAGTTTTCGTCGTGTATGTGTTTGATCCGGTTGGATTGGTTGATATTTGTTGTTAAGAATTTGAGAGCTGCATGGCTAATTTCCTAAATAAACATAGCTTACATTATATGGAACTTTAAAATTCCTCGTCCAAACGCACCGTTGCATAAGAGTTGCACGACTAAATTGCCGTTTTCATTTCCTTGTGTCATAAACTGAGATTTGACATTTCTTGGTTGGATGCGACATGACGATCACGATCAATGTTATGTTGAGGACAACTGAGGATAAATATGAAGCAAAGCAAGAGCTCACGAGAGAGAGAGAGAGAGAGAGAGAGAGAGTCGAACCTCTATAGTTTGTTGCATGAGTTTACCCAACAAATTAATATGGTGGTTCCACTTCCATCAACCCTTGCCCATGCATACATTTAGATAGAAAGAGTGTTTTGTATTGTGTGAGGAATTTGGATCCTCTCTGGATCTTAATTTTGGAGTCTAAGGATTAGAAAATTCAAGTTCTTGGCTTGTGTGAAAGAGAAATCGAAACTCTTGGTTTGTGTGAAATATTGATCATTGGGCTCCGGACAGTGAGATCTAAAGTAGATCTCTATCTATGTGTGTTTTAACAAACATATAGCAGGGGTAGATTTATTTTATTTTATTTTGTCAATTAGTGATTTATTCATTCAGAAGAATTCAAGAGCACAGCCTAGAGATCCTGCAAAACTAGGCAAGCACAAGTCAAAAATTTATATTAATATACAGACAAGATGTCACTCATATAACCATAACATATGATATCAAAAATGTGTTAAAGAGATTTAAGGTACGTATTAACTTAACTAGGCTAGCTTGGCGGTAGATTCACGAAACACAATGCAGTTCTAACGATTATTGTTAAAGCCATGTTTGTGTCATAGTTCACACGCGATTAAGTTGAACACTTAAGCTCAATTTTGAATTTGATCGAGTTAGTTATGTCGTACTTGAACAACCATGTATCGTTTTTATTTTGTTCCCAATCATGACTTCTCCCATTCATTTTCTTCTATTACCCATCCATATGGATTCATATTTCAAGTTCAGAAGTTATTGAGTACTTCAGTTCAATGCTATTTCGCTTGTAAATGAAAAGTTCTTAAATTTGATTTACGTGAATGACAAATTTGACATGAAAATTGTGGCTGTTGGCCAAACAAATAGACATTATATTATAGCTGACTCATTGTGTTCGGTTGCATGTTTTATGCGGCTCCAAACTGAACACGACAGCAAATGATGTTGGGCTTCGGCCCAATAGCCAATAACTCGCACTGTTCTCTCCGGCCCTGCTTCTCTTCATTCAAAGTCCATTCTAATGAAAGAAGAATGGAAAAAAAACAGAGAAAAAGAAGGGGAAATTCTTTTGGTTTCCCTTCACCTTCCCCTCCTTCACAATCCCAGCGAGGAAAATCCTGCTGTGCTAGGGTTTCTGGACCACCCCGAGCTCGTACCGCGACAGGACTCCATGCCCAGAAGCTCCTCCTTGTGAGTTGTGACCCTCGCAGGCAACTCTACCTTCCAAAGGTTAATAATTTCTACATTTCATGCTTTTTTCTTACTGTTTCAATTACATTCGTCGAGTATCACTTACTTTTCTGTAGAAATATAACTCTATTTTTCTGCTTGGATGACGAGAAAATCGAAAATATAGTTCGAATTCTTTTAATGTAGTAATACCAGTTGGTTTTTAGTTCTGCTGGGTTGTAATAATTTTGGGAATTCTGATTTTATTTTATTTTATTTTCTTGCGTTTTCTTGGCAACCAAACATATATTTAGGTAGATGGATGTGGATTAAGTTGATGGATTATAATTTTTATTTATTTTTTATATAGTTGAGTGAGTTAGAAGTTAGAGACTTGGTTAGAAGTCAGAGACTCGGTGAGAATTATGCCTTCAAATGTTTAAGAATAGAGGTTTCTAGATGGGTTTTTTATTATTCTGCTAAATTTTTATGCTTGACAGTGGCCGATATAAGTTCGTCGTTGGTAGATAATTGAGATTAGAGTTGATGTCATTCAGGTTTAACTTCTCGAACGCGCTTGGTTGATCTTTCGAGAAGGAAATATTTTTGTGGTTGAGTCTTTGAGTAAAAGAAAATCATGTCCGGAAGAAATCGTGGACCACCTCATGCTGGATTGCCCCCTCCGGTTCACGAATCCCCATATGGAAGAGGTACTTGGTCCGATGCCCCATCCTGCATTGCTTGAGGAAATGAGAGAATCCCAGCTTGGCATGGGTCCCAGACAACTTCCTCCCCACCCTGCAATAATTGAGGAGCATCTTGCGGCTCAGCATCAAGATATACAAGGACTTCTAGGTAATAACCAAAGGCTGGCTGCAACCCATGTTGCTCTTAAGCAGGAATTGGAGGCTGCTCAATTTGAGTTGCAGCGAATGGCTTACCATGTTGATTCACTGCGGGCAGACAAGGATGTCAAAATGAGAGATTTGTATGACAAGTCTGTTTGTTTGGAAGTGGACCTTCGTGGAGTGGAGGCCATGCGGAATGAGCTGCTTCAGGTTCGTGCTGATATCAAGGAGCTCACTGCTGCGAGGCAGGAGCTCTCGGCTCAGGCACAAGCGATGACACAAGATCTGGCTAGAATGACTGCTGATTTGCAACAAGCACCAGCTTTGAGAGCAGAAATTGAAGCAATGAAACAGGAATTGCAACGTGCCAGGTAGATTTTGCATGATTTATTATTGTCCTTGAATTTACAGTTTATGTTTTGATTATTGTCTTTGGATTTTTTTTAACTTTATGAGTTATTTGTTTGCATTAAGAGCTGCCATTGAGTATGAAAAGAAAGGATATGCAGAGAATTATGAGCATGGTCAAATCATGGAGAAGAATTTGACATCAATGGCTAGGGAGCTGGAGAAACTTCGTGCAGAAATTGCTAACACTGAGAAGAGAGCAAGAGCTGCAGCTGCTATTGGAAATCCAGGTATACAATCTGTTTTTAGTTTATATTGTTAGTTAGTTGAATTAAGATTTCACTCTTGAAACTTTTGTTTAAATAAGGAACTGAAATCTCACAGAAAACAACATACCAATGGGTCGTGGAGGAGGAGAAAAGATTAATTCAAATAATACTAATATTAAAAAAGGTGGAAAAAAATATACAGCTTATGGGAGAAACACAATAACAAACTATCAAGGTGTACCACGTACTGAAAATTCCACTTTCCTTCAGCTTGCATCACACTGTACCAGTGGAACTATAACGTTTTATCATTATCTAAGTTTCACAAGTTTTTCTTTAATTCAAATATATACTTATGTTGTGAGTTTTAGCCTCAAAGAATGCTCTAATCTGGATATGTAATGGTTCTGATTGATTTTGTTGAGGCTCAACCATGCCCACACATGATGTAAAGTATAAAAAGCTAGTCATGGACAAGTTGCTGAGTCAACTAACTTGATCCCTATAAGCTTAAGTTGGACCTGACTGTTAGTCTTTTGTATACCCACATCATATGAGGGTTCAACTTCATCCGATTCATTTCTATGAATTAATTCATGGTTTAGGGCCTTTAGGCCTGTCTGATTATTCCATACCTTTTTAAATTGGTTGTCACAATCACATTGAAGCAGCACAGTTTGATGATAATTATATTTTATATGTTCTTTTATTTGGAGATTCATTTGGAATTACTGTTGATTTTGTCTTTTAATTGTCTCTAAAGCTGTAGGTTATAATGCCAATTATGGGAATCCTGAAGCAGGATATGCAGGAAACCCCTATCCTGCCACTTATGGCATGAATCCTGTAAGTTTTGTTCTCTTTCATGAATTCATAATAGGCGTGTTTGTGTGGATACCTGATTAAAGCATTGATGTTTTTGTTTTGTATGTGCCCACACTGATAATGCATATCTGTATAAACTGCTGTGGCTATTATGAATGCATTAGTTCCTCCCTCATTTTTCAGGTACAGAGTGGTGCACCTATGCCAGGTTCATGGGGTGCATATGACATGCAGCGAGCTCAGGGACACAGATAAGCTAGTTCATCCATGGTGCTGAGCCCTGTCCTGACTGGTATCTTCGCTGCGGTGTATTAGATGCTTAGGTCTGTGATTGAAGTGTTATCTGATAGTAACATTTTGAAATTTAATTGTTTATTTGGTGTTTAGTAACTGTACCTAAACACCTCAAAAACTATATTACCTTGATGGTGCAGTAAACTATTGATAATTTGGTGTTCTTTGATGCATATATTTGCATTATGTTCTCTAAAATGCATTTCATTATAATATCAATGCTTCATTTCCTTAATTATGTATACATTGCCAACTGTCGTATTTAGACAGTTGATAGTATTTTCTGAATTTTGTTTCTACCTTTTTTGTGCTCTTCATATATAAGATGCTTGGTTTGTTAGGTCAGTTTGTTGAATTCTCGGTTTTGAAGTAAGAACATTGCTAGTGCTTTACAAAACTCTTTAAGTTTATTGGTGGATTCTGTCCCTTGATTGTGAATTCTTGTCATTTACTTGTGAGCTCCCTTATGTTAGCAAATACGGTCTATTAATACTCTCCCATTTGTTGGTTAAGGTTAGTTTCTTTTTCTATCTTGTTTGCCAATATATTTTAAGGCTCAATTAGGTTTCTGCCCTAGAAGCTTTTGTGCTCTGCTCGTGCAATTGGATTACTGCGTAGTGTTAGGGTAGCACTCCTGCTAGAAGCACTTTCATTAGAAGCACAACTATTTCTTCTCAAAATCTAAGTGCTTTTAGAGTCCTAAAGGACTATTAAGTTTTCTGTCAAACGTTGTCAAAAGCGCTTTTGGTTATTTGGAAGCGTTCTTCACAAAGCAGTTGCAAACAGGCATAGAATGTTGATAAGTTGATCTTTGACAATTGATAATTCACATGAGGACTCAAATCCTTTATCATTGTAGCTTGTCATTTCTTCTTTCATTATTAAATGTAAGCACTTGGTGAATTTATTTTGTGCTAGCCTACCACCAATATATTATTTCTTTTCTATGCTTAGGGTTTCGTGTGCCCCTTTGTATTTTTTTTTTCCTATCGATTTCTTACATCTTGTAAGTAATTTCCATTCTATGATATAACTGTTGCTCCGTTTTCTCATCATAATGGTTGTGCTAGCTTAGCTAGCTTAAAACTCAGGAAAGTTACTTTTCTTGGAATCCTATAAAGGAAGAAAGTATCACACACAACCTCACACTTGAGAAGATAAACATTCTAAAACTACCTGCATTACTATGTATAGCTCACATATAAATCAACTGTTCATGTTTATTTGGTGACTTGGTTATTTTGATGTTCTGGAGATTCCTGGATTGATACAAGTTGTGGAGTTTTTGTTGTATTTGGCGAGACTGAGACTCTAATTACAAACATTTAGTCAGACATTTTGTTCATTTTAATGCATGCCAGATTATTTAAAAGAGGAAGTTGTGGGATTAGTATAATCTTTTTCGTCCCAAAAGAAGGAATAATGAAGTATTCGTATTGAATCTGTAAAAGGTATGGCAACCTCAATTAATATTAGAACTGCATGTAAAAACTTCTTGGGATAATGGACTGAATACTCAAGGACAGGCCATTAACTTATTGTATATCATATATCTAATAGAAAATTCCCGTATAAGATTTTATTCACCAATGTTTTACTGTTAGTGCTAATAACCAAATTTTTGCAGTAGTACTTAATGTTCTTTGTTTAAACTTGTTAGCCATGTGCTTTATTTTGGTTTTGTTATTTTAGATATTGTTGGGTGCTTATGAGTGGAAGTGCCCCTCAAATTTGGGGGTCTCGAGTGAGTATGTTGGTTTCCATTGAGTTGTGTTGCTCATGAGTGGAAGCGCTCCTCAAAATCACTTAAAATCTACCGGTGCAGGCTGGCTGCAGAGTCTGAATGAACTGTTACCCCTTGCTTGATTTGTTATGTCCAGGAAACCTTTGCACCCAGGAAACTTGGATCTGTTTGAAGTCAGCTTTTTAGAATTTGAGTTAGATTCCATGTGTCTGTTTTCTATTTAGGGGAAAAATCTTAGTATAGTGTTCCCTCTCTCTCTCCTCTCTCCCCCCAGTTCTCTTCTCTCATTGTGCATGGCATGGGTAAAGAGAGGTCTTCATTCTTCCCCTTCACTTTTTGACTGCGGTTTTTCAGTTTATGGATTATAGGTTCTATAGGTCATTCATTTCATTTCCTAGGACTATGTTGAGACAGATTTATGGGACAATGGGAGTCAACTGTTAAGGACATGGATTTTTTAATAGCAAGAAAGTGCTCGATTTTCATGAGTTTTTCATTGAGTTTGGTTCAAGAGATACTCTTTAAGGAAACTTTATTTCCGTATCTTGTTTCTTTAGAAGAACAACAGCACAAATGTAAGGGAAGTGTATTCATAGCATGAGGTATGCTGTTCATTGCGAAGACATTCAACAATGGAGCTGCAGAATAAGTTTCTGGTCAAGTAAGTGATTTGAATTTCTGACTTTTCCCAGTCTTTGTTTTGTTCTTCTGTACTTTTTTTTCTAAAATATTCTTCCCCTCTTAGTTGTTACTGCAAAATCAGGTTTCTTTAGAACCAGACTCGTTAGTTTTGTGTCCAAACCCCTTGTCAGTGGCGTTTTCTAGGAAATTCCTTGTGATCTGTGATTGAGGTAGTTTGGTACTTCACATCCTTGATCCTCTTTTTTACGTCTGTTGGGTCTTAGACGTCAAATCAATGGAATAATGTTTTAGACTTCTATGGTTGCACCTTGGTATCAAGTACGATTTTATTCTCCGAATATTTTGTTTTGCTTTGTTACTGTGATGACCAAGCTCTGACTGATTGGTATTTCATGTTTGCTATGTGTATACTGTGTAGTAATTTAAAGTCAATTAGAGCTTGCTTTCCTTCTTGATTGCAATATTTTATAGCAAAAATTAATAGAAGCAAGTAAAGCTGGATATGAAATTGGATGGTATTTCGGTAGAACAAAAGCCATTTTGGTAATTTTGGATATCAAGTTTAGAATGAAATGGCTTTACATCGAAGCATGAGGTACTCTTGTTACAAGATGGTTTAGGTATGCAAGGGTTGTAGTGAAGCATCTGAGTAACTGATATAACTGACTGTATGAAAATTTACAAAGTATTCATAATAGAGTTAATCTTGGAGGAGCTGATGTTTGAAGTCAACATCATTCTTTCTTTTCTAGGCAACATGAAATACATTGCCTGGGTTTGGACCATGAAATGGCGCTTGGTAGATTTACCACCAACTCTCACCACTGAAACTTCAGTGGGCAACATTTAGTTTGTTTAGTGCGTTTCATTATGGAATATGGATCACAACTTTATGATCTTAGAACTGTACATGATTTTTCTTTTGGCTTTTACTAGAGCATGGTACTGTTTGGAAGATTATATATGATTCAACTGCTTATTTGAGTGTTATTTTATACATAGGTCTAAGATAAATGCATAACTAACTTTCAAATGTAGACCTTTTTATTTAAGTTTTATTACTTATCTTATCTGATGGTTTAAGCCGTAAAACAGTGCTGCTTAGTTTTCCTCTCTTCCTGATACACTATTTCATGTAGGTTATCTTCATCATTTGAACAGAAGTTCATCAATTTGATTATACTGTTTTTTGGGAGGGGGACAGAGGCAGTGTTTAGCTAGTTTATGGGTATAATGATATTATACTCATTTTAGGGAAGCTGTAGGTTGGAACAGGGTTTAGCTGCAATTAGTACCCCATTGCATGATTTCTCTCGAGTGGAATGGAAATTGAATCTGGAACTAATGTTGTTTCCTACTGAGTTTGTGTTTAATCAAGTCTGTCTGTATGTCCTATTTTCTCTTGAGTTCTGTTCATGATCACTTGCATTTTTAGAATTAAAGCAATGAATACATGTTTATATCTTATCTGGTCTCTTATATTCTTCGTGTATGTCTTCATCCAGGTTCACAACCTTTTGACCATGCAAATCTGCTGCCTTCCATGTATGTCCAATGTTTCTCAAGTTCAGTTCATGATTTCTGCAAATCTGCTCATGAGGTATGTCTAGCCATTCAACTTTACACCTTTTGTTTTTTGTTTTATCATTTCGATAATGCTGCTGCTTTTGGTTTGTAATTAAACAAAGAATACCATTATAATTGAGGTTTAGTATTATCTTAGAAATTTTGCATAAGAAGACGGATACATGATGTAATAAACAAATTGGGAGGTTGCATTATAAGCTAAAGTTGAAAAGATTGAATGGGCTCATACGTGGTGATGCAAGATCGATGCTTTTACTAAAGTGACTTGGAAAGTTAGAGCCATGATTCTAGAAATAGTTGTCACATAGGTTAATGTAATGAATTTTCCAAAATAAGCTTAGAAGAAGAGCGGTAAATTGTAATGAAACTTTGATGAGAGAACAAGGGATTTAGGGTTTTAAAATCTGGATAAAGGTTTCCTAAAGGATGAAAGAGAATTTTTAATTATATGCCATGGCTAAAGGTGACGAGTGACAATTAAACCTTATGGATACCTGTGGTTCAGATTAGACATAGACGGATTTGTTTGGAGATTTAAATGTTGTTAAAACAGGTCAAGAAAGAATCAGCTTGACTCTGGTGGTGCAAGTGCTTCTTGAGAATTAGCAACAAAGTTACTTTTGGTGCAGGTTTAATGAGAGAACTCAGATTAAGGTTTTGTGGGTTAGTTAAAGTGTACATTTTCAGAAGGAATTAGAAAATATAACCCAGAGGATACTTCAATTCTTACGCACTTAGGATTTGAGTTTCGTCATACGGTTCTCAAAGAAAGCTCCTGCCAACTTCGTTAAAAGTAGGGCTCCTGCCAACTTCGTTTAATTTTGTCTAAAAATAGTGGGCCCGCAATCAAACAGAAGTTCTTGCAATGATCAATTAGTCTTCACACACACACACACACACACACAAAACAATGTTGAATTACTCATACAAGTCTCCATTGAAAAAATAAAGAGGAGACATTTCTGACAGTATACGTGTTCTAGGAGATATTTAACTGCCTAAAAGTTTAAGCTGATTCATTTTATTTTCCTTATTAAGTACTTAATATGTGGTCCAAACCGGTTGGCAATCTTTCCTCTCCTTCATCAAAGAACCATTGACAACTGAACCCTTACTATCCGGATTGGTCAGCTTACAATTTGTGGCAGAGGCTAAAAGCCTTCCTTTTAGAGTGCGTCAACCTAGTTCCTCTTATGGAAATGCCTTGTGAAAGCTTTACTGTGGATTTGATTGCTTTGTTTGTACTAACCTACTGAAATCCTTCTAGTGGTGTTTCAACCTAGTCTAGAAGTCCTGTAGATGTAGTTGATGGAGGTTAGTGTATGATTGCTTCGTAGTAACACATTGAAAATCAAATAAATGTCTGTTTATGGGTTAAAAAAAAAAAAAAAAAAACAGGATTCATAAGTGCTAACCAAGTTTGGCCTGACATTATTTGCATATATTCTAAGAGCTGTGTTGTATGCAATTTATTTGATACGTTGAATTATTTTCTCAGGTGGTGATTTCCCTGTTGCCGCACAAGCTAAAGCCAGACTGGTTTGATTCCTGTTATCTGAATGCAACAAACAAACAACCAGGTGGTTCGATCTTATGATCCCTAATTTGGCGGTCGTAGCAATGTTGGGTGACTATAAATTGCCTCCTCCTGCGTGCTACTATAATCAGAAGGCACCAGGTAAGGTGTGGGAGCTGGCACAATTGCAAACAAAAACTATTTTTGTTCAACCGTTTCTCCATATTTTGCAAAAGAGAGATGTTTGTGTTTTTTTCCAAGGGACTGTTTGATAACCATTTAGGTTTTAGTCTCTAGTTTCTAGTTTTTGGTTTTCACTTCTTGAAATTTGAAATCTTATTTGGTAACTACTTTCAGATGAAAACTGAAAACTTAAGGCAAAATTTTGAAAACTCAAGCGTATAGTTTTCAAGTTTTGGTTTTTAGTTTTCATATTTTTGAAAACTAAAACAGTTACCAAATAAGATTTCAGTTTTCAAAAAAGTGAAAACAAAAAGTAAAATGAAATGGTTATCAAAATGCCGATGTTGTGTTTGGATGAGGGATTGTAATGGTACGAAGGGATTTAGGAACGGGTGCACTGCAAAACATTAGATTGATTCATTTGAAATGACTGCAATGCACCAAGTAATTTGTAAATGACTGCTTGAAAGGAGCCATTTGAAAATCCGTCATTTAGTGGCCTTGTAATGCTCATGTAGGTGTACTTTGTAATCTATCAAAACTTTTTGTAGTGCACCTCTAAATAATTTTAACTAAATCTCGTCGTACTTGGAAATTTCTCATCCAAACAGATCATATTGGTTTTTAGTTTTATGATGGAGAACCCTTTTCCCCTAGTTGTGGAAATTCATGTTTTTTACATATTGGACGACGGATTTGCCTCATGGTTTAATTCACACAAGGAAGCGAATAATTAAAATGATTTCAATTCTTATCTCCGTAAGTGAAACTAATTTCTAATTTTTCAGGTATTCGATTATGAACTTGAATATGGAACTCGCATTTCTTTTCGGTGTATGTTAGTAAACAGAGAAAAAAATAATTAGAATATCCATATTTAAATGAATGTAGAAATTTTGAGAATTGAAATAATTCTAGTATCTTTCATTACAAACATGCTCTAAACTTGTGCACAAACTAAAATAAAAAATGTTTACCAAAAAAAAAAAAAATTGATTATAAACAAAACTAAAATAAGTAAATAAATATGGCTGAATAGGACTATTCATTATATTGTTGGACAAGTAGTTCTTTTGACAATGAAAAGTTTGATAAAGAGGATTGGCCTGGATAGGATTATTCACTATATTGAAAGTATTTTGAAGGAAGAAATAGACGACAACTTTCTTATTTATCTATGTTGAAGATTACTAATGAAGAAAATATATTTCACTAATCCTCACAAAAATGGTAGAATTAAAAGGGATAATTTTTCCTCATGAGTAACCTTCAACTTGGACAAAATAAGGAAGTTGTCATCCATTTCTTCCTCTAAATTCCTTAAATATAATAATTAGTTTTATTCAAGCTAATTCTCTATATCAAACGAGACTTTTAGGTATTGGATTACAGACTTAAATAAAACCTACATTCTTTATGTGTTAGTAAACACATGGATAGTTAGGAATTGAAATAATTCAAATATCCATATATTAGTAAATGCATAAATCCATGAACCAAAATAATTCTACTACCCCTTTCTTAGTTAACAAGCTTTAGACTTCTTCACAAACTTATTGTAGAGCGTCATTTCAAAATTAATAAATTCTTATTGATTGTTTAATGCCTTAGGGTGCGTTTGTTGCATCGGACTGTCCTGGACTGGGCTAGCTTCAGGGACTAAGCTGGATTGGTTTAGATTAGACTAAGCTGGACTAGCTTAGTGAAGAGTTTGGTGCAGTGTCGGACTAAGAAGCAGGATAATTAAAATAGTACTGTTACCAGTTTGATGTTTGCTTAGATTAGAACTACATTATTGTTCTATTTTAATTGCTTTTTATATTAAAGATATTATTAAAATTAATAATATTGGATTAGAGTGAGACTCAATAAAAATATAAAAACCAAATTTTCTTACCAATGAAAGAAACATACATGATTCAGGATACGTTTGTTGTACTGGACTATCTCGGATTGAACTAACTTTTGGGATTAAGTTAGACTGACTTAAATTAGATTAAGCTGGATAAGAATAGTGGAGTGTTTAGAGTTCAAATACTTCTTCTGGCATTCATTAATTCATTTTACTATTATTAATATACCTTTTTATCTTAAAAAAAAAAAAAACAAAATACAACCATTTTTATTTGACTCTCCCTCTCTCTCTCTCTCCCCCCCCCCCCGGGTCTCTCTCCCCTATCTCTTTTCTTCATTCATTTGCTTTGGTTCTTCACGCCCAGGTTCGTTCCCAGTAAAACTCAAATCAGAAAAAATAAAATCCACATTTTTTCTTCTTTGCGTTTGCTTTCTCTTGAATTCAAACCTATATTTTTCTTCTTTTAATTTACTTACTTTCTCTTCAAATCAAACCCAGAAAAATCCCCAATTTTTTTTTCAATTTGCAAAGGCTTCGTCGGATCGTCGGATCTACAAATTCATTTCAATCAACCTCTCCAAATCAACGTCAATCGATCTTGCAGAAGAAAGAGACAAACTTGCTGGCGCATCTTCCTGGCAAAGCTCTTGGCAAACTCGAGTAGGGCGCGACAGTTGGTGCAGGATCTGGAAGAAGAAGCAATTAGAATATCAATATGATTATACCCATCCTTAGTAGTTCGACGCTTTTGGGGTCTCTCCCTAAGACCCCATAGTGAGCTCTTTAGTCCATGCGAGTCCCACTTAATCTCATTAAAGTTAGTCCCTTCTGTTAACAAACACTGGACTACACTAACACTTAGTCTAGTCCAGTCCAATGAAACTTAGTGAGGGCAAACAAACACACCTTTAGGGGGCGTTTGTTGCGCTGGACTATCTCGGACTGGATTAGCTTCAAGGACAAAGTTGGACTGGCTCAGACTAGACTAAACTGGACTAACTTAGTGAAGCGTTTGGTGCAGTATTGGACTAAGAAGCTGGATAATAACAAATTCTAATATTATATTATTTAATATATAAATTATTAATATTTTATTATGATCTTATCTTTTTCTTCATCTTTTCCTACCATTTCCGTCCCGCTCTTTTCCTCTTCTCTCATCGTCCCACCCTCTCCCTCTTTTTTTCCTCTTAGACCTCTCAATTCATGTCTCTTTCTCATTCCTGGTCAAACTCCTTATTGATTCCAGTGTCTATTTCTCTGTCCTCCCTCCCTCTCTAGCTATGTGTTGTTCGAATGGAACCTCACGGCTCCAATTTCCGACGAGTTGTAGGTTTCCCGATGTGTTTTCCGGCCAACCCTCGTTAAATTGGATGAAGTTAGCACCGCCAAAAAATTCATCACCATCCCTAGACCGAGATTTTAGCTTTGAATGCTCGAATCGGTCATGGATTTGAAGAAGCCCAAACAGGCCGAGACTTCTAGGCCATTTTCCGGCCACATTCGACCACATTGTGGCCTCTATTCAGGTAAAATCGTAATCTTGTCACTCCCAGCTTCAATTTGGTATATTTTTATGAAAGTTGGTTGTGAAATGGATTTGAAAGGGAGTCGGAAAGTTAATGATTGATCTAGGTGACCGGAGATGACGAGGAGTCTGTCGGGAGTGGTCGTTGAGCATGACGAGGACGAGAAAGAGAGGATAGTCTTAGCTAGTTCCATGATTATTGGGGGGTCTCACTAAGACCTCTTAGTGAGCTCTTTAGTCCATGCGAGTCCCACCTAATCTCATTAAAGTTAGTCCTTTCTGTTAACAAACACTGGACTACACTAACTCTTAGTCTAGTCTAGTCTAATGAAACTTAGTGAAGGCAAACAAACATAGCCTTAGAGAATTAAAACTGTTTACCCATAGTTGGACCAACAAAACACTTAAGCAAAAGTTGGCCCAACAAAATTACCATAGTCCACTTTCAATAGGGTTGGTTGACTAACTAAAGATGCATGACAATTGACAAGGCATAAAAAGCCCTCTGGTTACAAGAGAAGCGAAGGTAGGGTTTTTTTGCCCTGGGAAGCTAGGGTTTTTTTTGCTCACCCCTTATTGATTGCAATGCCAAAAAAGAGAAAGAAAAGAGAGGATCGGCGGAGATAAAGAGGAAAAGGAATGAGAGAGAAGCGAGAGAATGAAAAGAGAGAGATAGATTGGAGTGAGAGAGGAGGAGGGAGAGAAAAAAAAAGAGTGAGTTTAAGTTTAAAAACTCTAAAAACTCACTTTTTGTTTTTTTAGAGAATAGACTATATTTTTGAATTAATTTTGAGTTCAGTTTTTGAAAATCGTCATTCCAAACAAGTTTTTAAGACTTAAAACTTAATTTTTTTTTTTTTAATTTAAAAAGTTAAATTCAACTAAATATCAAATAGTCCCCAAGTTAGAAACGCCTCCACACTACACAACACTGTCAACGCCTGGAAGTAAAAGCAAGTAACCAGACAGCTACAGATACAGATCGAGAGAAAATGCAGCCGTCACTCTCATATCACCATGGAATTACAGGCTTCAGATTCCAACCAAACCCCATTTCACTTCTATTCTCTCACCACACCAGCACATCTCCTTCCTCCTCTCCTTCTAGTCAACGCGCTCTAAGATCCCATTGCAACTCGCTACCGCAATTTCCCAGCAAACCCACATGGCATCTACCCTCGAATCCCTTTCCACCCATACCAACTGCCAAGAACGAACGTTTATCACTAGCTCCGCTCCACTGTGGCATTTCGTCGAACAGCTCCAATGCAAATGCTACCAGGAGTTTCAGGGATTGGGTTGAACTGGTTGGCGAGTATGTGTCGACTGCATTTCCGATATGGGTTGCTTTGGGGTGCCTGCTGGGGCTCGTCAAACCGAGTTCCTTCAATTGGGTCACACCCAACTGTACCATCTTAGGTATAACGCTGACCATGCTCGGCATGGGCATGACCCTCACTTTCGACGACCTTCGTGGCGCGTTGTCTATGCCCAAGGAGTTGCTTGCTGGCTTCCTTCTTCAGTACTCGGTTTGTAGCTCCACGTTTCATATGTATACTAATGCTTGTATTGAATTAGCACATAATTGAATCAAGTACTGAATGCCATTCCCTACATTTTGTTTGATGCATATGGATCATTGTGTTCATGTCACAAAAACTATTTGACCTATGTGCTAATTTCCCAGTTCAAGGAATTTCAGCTTTTTCGTGACTTTTCGAACATTTCTAACTCTGTTCTTTTGTACTGGGGTTAAAAATTATGTGTCCTTCAATCTGTTTAGGCACAAATATTTAACATTTATGATTTAACGGTGAGTACTTGTAGGTGATGCCGTTATCAGGATATTTTGTGAGCAAGCTTTTGAATTTGCCATCGTATTATGCAGCTGGTTTAATATTGGTTGGTTGCTGCCCTGGTGGTATGTATCTATGCCAGTCTTTTCATAATTATTCTTCTTTACTTAGCTTTTTCTGAATACACTTCTTCCCCGGTTAACTCTTGCAGGAACAGCGAGTAACATTGTAACTTATATTGCACGGTAAATGAATTACCCTATCATAGAATAATACCCTTTTTCCTATCTGTGTCCAAATCTTTTTTTTTTTATCCCGTCTAATTTGCTGAAAGTTCCATTTCAGTGCTTGAAGTTTAAAAGTTTCAACTGTGAGAGCAACATGTAGTAATTATCGTACACTTTTATGTTGCCAACCCCACACAGATTTTGGGTGAGTTGGATGGGTTTAATCATATTGAAAAATTGTAACATTGACATGTCTACATTCCACTTGCACCTTGCATACCACCTTGCTGCTCAGATGAATAGGACCAAACGGGATGAAACTAAAACTTACAAAAACTAGGGTGACGGAAATCTACTTCGTCTTTTTCCCCTCTTCCTGGCCAGAGGATCTGATGACCTTGTTGTTTTTGCAGTGGAAACGTGGCACTTTCAGTTTTAATGACAGCAGCAAGCACTTTATCAGCTGTGGTTGGTAAACTGATGTAAATTTCTTTTGATATGTTTTTCGTCTTGAAGTGGATGGTACTTGTATGGTGCAAGGTTTAGCACATATATTGAAAATGGTTGGAAAGATAGGTTTGAATCCCATTTTCTGCTAAAACTCCAGAAAATTTATATTTTGGTTAACATTCTGTTATATCTATTTCGTTTGCCTGTTAAAAGTTATGGGGTGCATTAAACTATCTCCTTTTGGAAAAGATTCGCTAAATACTAAGTATGAGTAAAGTTGTCCTCTGTTCGATTCTCAACTTAAAGTGATCTGCTGAAAGCTCAGACCTTAAAGTACTGGGCGCAGCCATACATATTACACTGATTAGCTTACAACGATGAGGAGAGTGTTAGATTTGTCTCATAATTAGGGAGATATTCTTTGAAGTAGTTACTACTTACTACTTACTAATGAGTTAAACTATAAGCTTATTTCAAGGAACCTTACGTCTTTTACTCTTTCATATTGTAGATCATGACCCCCTTTCTCACAGCTAAACTTGCCGGTCAATATGTTGCAGTGGATGCTGCTGGGCTTCTATTCTCAACACTGCAGGTAAGCTTTCAATTGTTTTGTGGACTTCTTAGTTATAACTGTTGCTGTTTTAAATTATATTAATGTACCATATGCGTTGAACACAGGTTGTGCTTCTCCCTGTTTTGGCCGGTGCATTTCTGAATCAGTATTTCCAAGGCCTGGTTAAATTTGTATCCCCTTTGATGCCACCCATTGCTGTGGCAACTGTAGCTGTTCTTTGTGGGAATGCAATTGCCCAGAGTTCTTCTGCAATCCTTACGTCTGGTAAACAAGTGGTGCTAGCTGCCGCTCTTCTTCATGCAAGTGGATTTTTCTTCGGTTACATCCTTTCAAGGATGCTTGGGATTGATGTCGCATCATCAAGGACTATCTCCATCGAGGTTGGCATGCAGGTAAGCATCATTGGGTTTTTCCCCCTGATATTTTAAAGAGAGTTGCTTCTCATTTTCATCCAGTGAGTGTTCACGTCTTTTCCATTGCCAATTACTTCGAGTGAAAAGATATTGTGGTATATTCAAGCGAAAATACATTACTGTCATTTGTTAATTTCATTCTACAGCCAATAAGCCAAAGACATATGATTGCTTACGATGTGTGTATGTATAATAGAAAGAATGCCTGTCAATTTGTCTCATGCATTATCAGTTGTCTGTGAGTGTTGTTATCGGCTCCTTTATGTTTCAGAATTCGGTGCTTGGAGTTGTTCTAGCCAGTCAGCACTTCGGAAACCCTCTAACTGCGGTACCATGTGCTGTTTCCAGCGTTTGTCATTCAATCTTGGGTAGTGTCTTGGCAGGATTCTGGAGACAGACTGTGCCAACCCAAAAACAAGATTGAAATGTCATGTAGAAGGTTTAGACAAGCAGCACAAACATAAATCCTTCTGTTATCATATCAGCTGCTAGTTGTCGGAATTTCTTTGCGTATTAGCTAATGGAACGGTTGGATTTGCAATTTCTGCTATGTTGTATTTACTTTGCCTTTCAATGTGAATCCTTTTGATTTTCTACTTGTGGATTTTAACTTCATGTTTCACATGTTTGTTCATGTATGAATGTCGTCCGGTTTCTATGTTTTCAATGATAACAGCAAGCCTAAATTCCAAAAATATCTTCACCTATTCTTGGAAACAATGAAGTGCAAGATTTTGTGATAATTTAAACCCTGTTTGAGAACCATTTTGTTTTTAGTTTTTATTATGAATAATGAATGCAGAGGGGAATACAAAGGGTAAAGGAAGGACGAGCGAAGGTGGAGGAATGGCGGCGGGAAGGAAGTTACGGAAGAGTATGCAAGATGAAAATTGAAAACTAAAATCAATTTGTAATAGAGTTTCGTTTCTTGTCTTGCGTTCACCATCTTCGTTCTTTAATTTTGCAAATACAACCCCTCTATCTCAACCAAGAAAAACTAAAAATAGTCCAATCCAAAAGGGGGATCAAACTCGGAGGCAACAGAGTACGCATATTATGTTAGTCAACTAATCTAACTCATATCTACAAAGTTTCGTGTTCGAATTCCTCTTCGTGTAATTTAAATAAATTTAATGTAGATTATCTCTTGTTTGTTAAAAAATATAAATGCTCCAAGACATTTTTAGTTTCACTCAAATTGTAGCCCAAGTCCAACAACAAAACCGGACATCACACCGAACTAGTTTTGGTGTCAAAATTCCCTTCGGGCGCTGATTTTTTCAAAGCAAAATTGAACCGAACCAAATGTTTCGAAACCCCGCCAAATTCAAATCTGGGTCGCGAAAAACTCAAAACGAAAAAAAATGAAAGCTCCTCAATTTCAAAGTTCCCACCACAAATCCAATTTTTTCATTTCTTAATTCACTTCAAATCCCAAATCCCAAATCCCAAATCAAAACCTCAAAAAGTCTCTCAAACTCTCTCAATGAATCCCCCCACCAAATCAATTTTCTCTGCCCAAAAACCAGACCCACAAATGGATCAGAGATTTCATGGCCTGCCTCCTCTCAAGAGATTCAGACTCATGCAGCAACAGCAGCAGAAGGATGCCCTTTTGTCCCCGTCGTGCCTTCCGGCAAAGAAGCGAAAGGCACCGAGAGACCAACTCGTTCTCCCTGACCCCACCGCCTCTGCTGCTGCCGGCTCCACCTATTCCCTGCCTGCCAAGAAAAGGGTTTGGGCGCTTCAGCCCGATTTGTTCACTGAAGAGCCACGTTTGACATTGGACCTTAATGTCGAGTACAAGCCGCCTTTGGGTCGGAGCTAGAAGAAGAGCCGAAATCGGAGGAAGAGAAGGGTAAAGCTGAAAATGGTTGCAATGAAGATATTGAAAATACCCAAGAGAAGAAAAGCCAAGAAATCGCAGGGGATGGAGAGTGCAGCGAAGAAGAAGAAGAAGATGATGATGATGATGGGATTGTTTGTGCTGTTTGTCAGAGCACAGATGGAGATCCATCAGATCCAATTGTCTTCTGTGATGGGTGTAATCTGACCGTTCATGCCTCCTGCTATGGCAATCCACTTGCAAAGGGTATTCCGGAAGGAGATTGGTTCTGCGCCCAATGCGCGTTTTCTGCTGTGCATTCCCAATCCAATGAGTCCTGTTCTTGCTGCTTATGTCCTGTCAAAGGAGGGGCAATGAAGCCCACCGGAGACGGCAGGTGGGCACACATTGTGTGTGCGCTTTATGTCCCAGAGGTGTTCTTCAAGGACCCTGAAGGCCGGGAGGGGATTGATTGCTCCAAGGTTCCGAAAAGGCGGTGGAAGGAGAGATGCTATGTTTGTGAGAGTTCAAGGGGGTGTGCTATTCAGTGCTCCGAGCTTAAGTGCCCTCTGGCATTTCATGTGAGTTGTGGCTTGAATGAGGATCTCTGTATTGAGTACAAGGAAGGAAGGAATAAGGGAGCTATTGTGGCTGGGTTTTGTAAAAAGCACTCAGATCTGTGGATAAAGGTAGGGCTTTTTGGCAAGTCACTTCTCCTTTGAGTTTTGACTCATTGAGTTTGATTATCGTATTTTGATGGGGATTTTGCTAATTGGGTTTCTTTCTATTTGCAGCAAGAACAAACTGGGAAGTACAAGATTGTCGCTAGAGAAGACTGAATAGTACAAGTAATTAAATTTTGATGGATTAGTGTTTGATTGCGTTGGTCAGTGTTTGATAATTGGCTTTTTCTTTGTGTCTGGAATTTACATGTTGCTGTCATTTTTTTAGATGTCTGTAGGTTTCTAGTGTCAGCTTATTTGATTCTTGCTGTGACTGATGATGCATTTTACTTAGACTCTAACATATTGTCGTTGCGTTCGAGCCTGAATTCAAGTAATGTTGAGCATCTGCTAGCCAAGGAAACCCAGGTTTAGGTTTGAACTAAATGATTTAGACGAAGAAATCCATTCTAACGACGTTTCAGCTTATGTGACAAAAGTTGATTTCAAGTTGTATTTACAGTGTTGTGAGTTTTAACAACTCATGGCAATTGATGTAGGACTGGGGTTTCATCTGAATAATAATATCGTTTACTTATGTGAGAGATGTCTGATTTATGAATCTTTCGTTCGAATCGCCAGGCCTTGCAGAGGAAATGCTCATGTCTGTCTTTTAAGGATGTCTTCCAAATATTTAGATACGTGGTCTGCACCTTGAGTCCTACTATACATCATTGCATTTTTAAGTGGCTTAGATATCTCACTTGCTAGATATTTGTGGATTTTTTAGCACACATTTAACCGTTAAATTTAATAATGTATGTCATTATTTGGCCCAATAGCTTGTGCAATTAAGGCCGTTGAGTAAGCATAGCTTTTAACTGTTAAATGAAAAAGTGAAGATAATTTGTTATTGTTAAAGGATAATATTATGGTTTTTATCATAATAATTATCTTTTAATTTGAATTATTTTGGTATCTTTTTAAACGGGATAGATTGGATGCGGATTATATTTCCAAGTAAGCGGTACAGTTCAAATTGATTTGGAATGTCTGGCGTGTGGTGGTGGTGACAGATAGACAAGTAGTTAGAAATGAATTTAAAATGAATTTGAAATTCATTAAATGGGGATCAGGAGGCCACGGGTTCATTGTCTCCAAAATAAAGGACCCAGCTTCTTTGCCCTTCCAGTTTCTATACACTTTCATCTTCTCTTATTTTGTGTGGTTACGGTTAAGATATGTTAACATTTTATATTCAATTATTTTATAAAGATAATAAGATAAAAAACAATAATGATATAAAATATTGACATGACTTAATTATGACTGCAAAAATAGAGGAGATGAGAACCTTAATCGTACAAATAGAAGAGTATAGGACTACATGGGAACTGGAAGGTAGAGAAGCCAGGTCCCAAAATAAATGTCTCCTTGGTGTTTCTTCAGTAATTTTGCGACACCTGTCCAACACTTAACAGAGAATTAACATTGTTAAGTCCCTTAACACACCTCCACCCCTGTTATTTCTTCGTTTGCAACCACCACTTTTTTAGTTTTCATTGTTGCCGTCTCTTTCAGAAATTGATATATATTGGAAACTCAAATTCTACAATTTCGGATTCAAATAGAATGTTTTCCAATCTTTCCAGTTGACCCAACCCATCCTGAGTTGCTTAACTTATTGCATTATGTTGTGTTGTGTTACTTGAAGAGATTAACAATAACTGAAAAATTGATTGATGGAGAGATAAAACGAGTTTGAAATTGAAATATTGAAAGATACAATGACTTGTTTTGACAAATTTGTTGAGATTAGCAGAGTGGACGTTCCTGGTGGCGTGTGCTCGCAGCTGGTGGCCAGGCCATCTGAATCAAAATCGTCGCTTTGAATTGTGGGCTCTCGTTGGCGGCGGTGAGGTGTGGAGGAGTCAGGAGTAGATGGGGTCACATTGGTATATAAACACAACACTGTTTTGTTGATGACATGAAGAACAAGGCGGCTGGAAGATATGGAGGATGAGTACATCGGAACGGTTCTGGTACCAATGGGTGTCTTCATAAGAGAGGACATAAACGTCCGAACCCCGAACCAAAAAAAAAAGATTTAACAGTGGTAATTACGTGTTGGACAAGTGTCGTAATATTAAATAAGAGACATGAAGGAGACATATTTTGGGGGAAGAGGATCCTTTCCTGAGCATAGAATGGGGATCCTCTTGATTACAAAATCCGGACCATTCAATTTTAATCCAATTTAGGGAACCCCTTGTTTAGAGCCGTTGGATTAAAATTAAACGATCTGGATTTCGTGGTCAGGAGGATTCTCATCCTAAGCTCAGGAGAGGATCCTCTTTAAATAGGAACATCAGACTTATGGCCGGATCAGGATGCATGGATGTGATGGAATTATGATGAGATAATAAAGCCTAGGTAGGCTAGGCTATTGGTCATGATGGGATAAGCCTGGATAGGCTCTTATTATCTTTGAAAAGTCAATCATCTCAAGATAGCCTTTAACTTATGTCACAGATCAGCCATTCTACGAGTTTAAGTTTTAGTCCGTTTCTACGAAATTATTAGGCCGTGCCAAGCAAAAGTATGGATGCTATAAATACAGAGTCGCATGTGACATTTGAAGCCCCTCCAATTCAACATACAAATTACCCTGAGTAAAGTTTCTCAACAACCTTTGAGATTTTATTAGACCTTGGCATTCGTGTTGTGTTTTCTGTGTTCATGTCGTTTTCGTGTCATACCCGATATCTTAAAGGGCCGTGTCGTGTAACACCCGTTAAAATGAACTGGTAAAATGACTCGATCTGAAATCGATCCGATAATATTAATAGGTAATATGACCCAACCCGTTACTAGTTAAGAAAAATATATTTTAAACCAATAAATAATCAAATGAAAAACATAATACTAAATAAGTATATACATACCATATTGTCACATCTAAAACATAAAAACACATTTTTCTTTTAAGTATATTTTTGCTTACCTAAATTGATCAAATGGTAAAATTGGAAAATATTGGAATAGAGAAGGGGTTTTTTCGTCCAAAAAAGTTCTAATAATATAAGTGAAATAGAATCCAACGATACAGATTTACTCTCATTTATCTT